CTGCATCACCTTATAAGCTGGTGATAAATTTACTATGGAAGGATAGTATTTGTTTTGGTAACATTATGCTCTCTGTCATTATAGTACAGAAAGAAGCTGTTTACAGGAGCACATACTCTTTTTTTTTTTTACAATAACAGGCATATGCATCTGAGTTTAAATTTAATTCAATATCTGAATTTGTATTTTGAAATCCTGAGCTTTTGATTCCTTCTCTAAAATGTAAGTCTGTCAATTCTTTAATGCTTATTTTAAAAGAAGAATGAGTAGGAGTGGCTTATCATGACTGTCAGGAAGCCAAAGCTGGTCACAAAAATCTTTTAGTATCACTGTGGTTCATCTGCTTAAAATGTTTCTCTTAATTTGGGTATGAATCCAGGCTTTCTCCTTACAGATTTCTTTAATGCACCATTTATGTAGCTTTCTAAAAATATTATAAGTTTCATCCATGTCAATCAGATTTGGGTTTTTATGATATTCAAGTAAATGGCAGAGGAACATTTGGGTCAATATAAATGAGATTATAAAGCCTAAATACAAATCTTTTATTGCTGGCTAGCTAAATGCACTTCTTATAGATCAAATTGTTTACCATAACCTTGACTGAAACATGGCTCATAGCTATTACTTTTTTAAAAAATCTGGTGTATGTGCAAACACACTTCAGAAGAAAATTATTTCTGAAGTGCCATGGGGTGCTAGAGCTCACTGAAAATTAAGGAAAAGGGAACTCTGGCTCCTAAGTCCTGTACATAACTTCTCTTTTGCCACTCTGTTTCAGTAAGCAAAGTCGAAGATGTTTTAAATGTCTGTCTTCGGATTCTTTTCTGACAATGGCCTTTTTAAAGGGAGATATTATGATCCTTTTTCTTTTGCTCCTCTGTAGAACCAAAGAATTTGGTCCTTCAGCTTGGTAGGTTTCCTGGCCATTGACTGAGGAGTGGCACAGTATTAGCTTATGGAGTTATGTTTCTTTCTTGAGCATATTCTGTAACTGCTCACAAGCATGGAGGCACTTTTACGTACTATAATCTAACCTCGTGCTCTACTGAAATGTCAGTCATTCAAGTTCTTACTCTCCTGTCAGCCGAAATTAAGAGATTGCACAGTGTCAATAGAGTTTCCATTGGAGAAGTTATATATCTTGTCTCATAAATCAACATTTCAGAGCTCTGTCGAAGGGATCAGTTTTTGTTTTGCTTTGTTTTGTCTGAATGCTGAAGAGACTTGAGCAAAACACTTCTGTCTAATTTCAGCCCAGCTTAGTTTGACCAGACAAAGTAGTGACTTCTCTTCCACCCTTTCCCCTGGAAGGTGAAGTCATGGAGCTGTGAATTTGTAACCACTCCTGTGACAGCTTGTGATTGAAAATAGACTGCTAGAAAGTTAGCTTTTCTAACTTTTGGAGTACTGCTCTTCTTTAATTCTTTAGTTTATTTAAATTTTATAAAAAAAATCCCTGCAAGACTTAGAGCTTCGCCAGCACCCTTCATGATTTGAAACAGAGTATATGGAGGATGTCAAAAAGGAGTAGTTGTCAATCCCAGTTGATCTTCAGCTACAGTGTGGTTTATTACTGAGTTAAATTATCATTATGATTAGCACCCAGTAACCCCAAACATTGTACTGAGTATCATTCTGGTGAAGTAATGCTTTAATTTCAGAATTCTTAAAGTATTCCTAATATTTTGTCAGTATTTTCCCCTAAATTGCGTCTGGTACAGATTAAATAATAGGCATTTCATGTTTGGACTAATTTATCTGAAAATAAAAAACTGTATAAAAAAAATGAAAATAAACTGCCTTGGCAGAAAACTCCACCCAACCTTAACCCAGGAGCCCCTACTAATGCTTCCAAAATATAATTATCATGCCAAGGACTCTACTGTGATACAAAAGAAAACTGGCATAGAAGGCAAAGCAAAAGATATAAATAGGTTGGGAATTTTGAAGTATGATTAAGACACTGAAAGAAGATTGATTCATAAGTTTAATGTTTAAATATGGGATATTCACATATGTACTGTTAAATAGCAATAGTTTTATGGAGGATATCCACAACGTAAGGTGAGGCAGGCTTTTGCCTGCTAAGCGTGTTTATATGATATTAAAAGGCAACTTGTACTGAAAGTTATTCATTTAATCCCTCTTCCATCCAAAAAAGTTCAAATGGAGTAAACTTTAAACGTTACTCCTCAACATGTTTTGAAAGCAATAGTTAAAATGTCACTTCAAAAATATACTTACGTCACTTGGATGTGAGGGAGGGTCACAAGATGCTAATTTTTCTTTTAATGTTCTGTTCTGCACCGCATCATTGGACTAAATGATTTGGAAAAACCTTGATGTCTTTTCAAACTGTCTTGTGTGGGTAGGCAAGAGGCAAATGTTTTTTTCTGAATATTTAAACACACTGGATGTTTGATTCAAGCATTGCAATTAATAAAATACTTGCAGTACATCTTAAGTGTAACAAGGAGATTTGCAATTAACTATTGCAGTACATCTCCAGAGCAGCTCACCTTATAATTTTGCCTTGCAGACACATTAATCTGGGGAAGTGATTTTGCAGGGTCATTGTATAAGCATTGATCTCCTGTTCTTTGGAGATTGGTTCAAACCTCATGAAAAAGAAATTATCATTCTTGGGAGTTCCCTATAAACTAAACTGTGGATCAGAAGCCCAACTTGTGCTGCTTGTATGAACACAAGTTCTAAAAGCCCCTTTGAGAGATGCTGGACAGATAGAGTTGGTAGCGTGCAGATTATGTGTGGTTGTGTCTAAACAGAGCCTGCAGAGCTTCCCTTTGGCAGTGGAAGACTTCAAACTGATGTTCACATTCCTTCTAACCAAAGAAAGGTGTACCAGCATTTGAAATATTTTTCATGTGATCTGCCTAATTTATTGTCCAATGCCACAAGAAATCTGATCTAAAAAGCCTCATATTTCCCTAATTGCTAACAAAGAATAATTTCCCATCACCACCTAGTTGAAGTGTTATGGTTTGCCCTATTTTGGCCTGCTGAAGCTCAAGAATAAATATTAAAATCTGTTTTATGAATATTGGCTAAATTTGAAGTGTTGTTAGGGGATATTTACCAATAGCTATTTCAGAATTCCTTACGGTTTGTGATTTTTTTTTCTTTAGAAAAGAATGAAGAATAAATGAATAAGTGACTGAAAAGATTAGTATATTGTTGCATGACATGAATAACAAATGCTTCCTGCTGTGACTTCAGATAGCTGAAGACAGGATACAGTTGATGTAGTTTATATAAATTATGTATGTTAGCTGAAGGATTAGATTTTTAAAATTAATTTTAAAGTGTTCATTACTGTTCCAAATATAATGGCTTTTATTTTTTAATCTTTGGAACGTTTTTCCCTGGCATTTTTTTGTAGGTATGTATGACTGACTTTCATAAGCCTCCATGTAAGTACATCTGTTTTTCAGGTGTGCATATGATTGTTGAGATCTAATTCACTTTCAAGTTGCCATGTTTTAGTATGGAATAAGATGTTTCTGAATAGTCTGCTTCCGAGTCTGTAACCTATTATGGATGATATTTCTCTTAAATTTTCAGAGAAATCCAATATTTCAAAAGGCAATAGTATTTTTTTTAATTATTGATTATAGCTTTGTCTTTTAGTCATTTAATAATGGTTATTTTTTATGGATTAACTGCCTTAATAATAGAGAGGAGTTATATCCAGAAAAATTGAGGCTTTTTGCACGGTAGCACATGCATATGTGTAGATAAGGACATCAGACATAATACATCAAAGCATTCAATCAGCTATTTATAGGGTCAACTCATGGAAAAAAAATGTATCCTGCTTGCAATGACAAATAGTAAACTGAAGACAGTACATATAATACATGCATACTTCCCAAAATAATTTGTTGCATCTTAGTTTACTCAAAATTACTTAAACACAAAAATAATTTACATCATTGAATGTTTTTCCTCCAAAAAGATGTAATTAACTCAAATATCACTTAACTAGAGGTTTTATCTACAGTTTTGATTTAAAAAAAAAGGATTAAAAGGATGTATGGGAAAATGTGGTAAATAATTACAGTTAACTGTAATTTTTCTTACAGAGCAGATAGATTTCAGGATGACAGTATTCCTCATTATAGCACTTCTGGTTTTGCTATTTTATTGCTTTACAAGTCCTTTCATTTTTAGTCTTACCCTAACTTAGCTGTCTCATTGTTCCTTATGATCCTTTTGATTCAGGATGCAGAATAGAAAACTGTGACTCCTGCTTTAGCAGAGACTTTTGTACCAAATGCAAAACTGGCTTCTACTCGCACAGAGGCCGCTGCTTCCGAGGATGCCCCCCGGGATTTGCAGCCTTGGAAGAGCTTATGGAATGTGTGGGTGAGTCTTCTAGCACAACAATGCTGCTGAAACAGCTCTTTTGCCAGGTGGACAGATTCAAATACTTATGACACTATTTTTAAGCTGGTGCTTAGTATTTTCTATCAAGAAATATTCACTAATGGATTGTGTTTGGAACTCTTTACCCCTAATAATAACAATAAATAACAATAATAATAATAATAGTTTTTTTCCAAACTTTGAAATACTGCGTTATTGGGAATGTCACTCTGTTATGCATCAGAAAGTTCTGTCCTCTTAACTGTAAATCACCTTGTACGAGGATTTATAACTCAGAATTTGTAAGATTTCAGGAAGACCAGTTTTTGCATTAGAACTTTAAGTCAATGATGTACTCACTGGACTCTTACCCTCATAAAACTACCTTCTCCTTTTGCCTTTTACGAAGGCCAGAAACTAGGGGCAGGGCAGATTGAATTCCTGTACCATCTGGGCTTCAAATTCAATTTTATTTTCTCTGTAGCTCCCCCCTTTTCCATTAGTGAGTAAGAAATATAAACCACCAAATAAGTGTTTTTAGTAGAAATCTACTTTGTAACTCTGAGCCAGCATTGGCAGTTCTCACAATATTTCTCAAGTCTCACCATTTGGTGTTTTATCTTGAAGCCTAGGAATTGTGTCAGAACAGACTCTTTCTTTCAAGAGTATTCCTTGCATTTCATGATGGAGAGGACCTGGAAATGTGAACTCTTGAGCTTTGCAAATCCAGGTGACAACCAAATAGGATTTATTTATTAAAAAGAGAAAAATTTAAATCAATCTCATGATTTTAGGAAGGTTTTTGAACATTTGGGACTGACATGATATCTATACATTCAGATTGATAGTCTGATGGTTTTATGCTCAGGTTGATGCTGGCTAAAAAGATTCTTTCAGGTTCTGTAAGAGATTTTAATTTTGTTTATAAATTTTTGGCTGTTAACAGTAAAACTTTCAAGTGCTGCTTTCTGATAGTGTGTTCTAATTTAAAAAAATGAAAACAAAGAAAAAAAACCAGAAGAATTGTTCACTCGTGTTTTCTTTTGCTTTATCAGAAGGCTGTGAAGTGGGTCAGTGGAGTGAGTGGGGAACTTGCAGCAGAAATAACAAAACATGTGGATTTAAGTGGGGCCTGGAAACGAGAACAAGACAAATTGTGAAGAAGCCAGTGAAAGACACGATACCGTGCCCAACCATTGCAGAATCCAGACGGTGTAAAATGGCCATGAGGCATTGTCCAGGAGGTAAGCATAGTCATGCCACAAAAATCTTTATGAGCTTTCCTTAACTGAAATCCTATTTCTAACTTAAAAAAAGAACTATTTCATGCCAGCTGAAGGGGAAATCCTGTCTCTGCTCTGCCAGCGGAGGCTAAAAGGCAGCAGTACTATGGCAATCCTAATTTGTGCAGCAAGACTCCAGGGAAAGGCTCAGTGTGGGAGTGATCAGTCTTTCAGTAGACTGTGAAACTTTTTTCTGGTGCGGTACTGAGGCTTTTTCAAAGAGGTGCCTTGTGGAAGAACCATAACAGTTTGCAGTTTGAGCTTCAGCTTGAAAATGATGGTGATGGTGGAATAACTAATGGCTCTGCACATGGCAGGAAAGATTATGATTCTAAACCTCTCTGCAGGTGGCACATCCAGTGCTGGTGTGATGGGTATTTAAATTATATGAAGTTAGTTACATATGGCATTGTTAGCTGGCGCTATCAGCTGGAATGTGTTACTTGTTCTGAATATTGTAGATCAGGGCCAAACTATGACAGATGTGACACAAGCCGAATAGTGATAGATATCAAGCTTTTCAGCATGAGACCAGCTTATGGCAATTACCACAAGTAGATAAAGAAATTTGATTATTTCTTTTATCATGGTGTTCTAAGTCTTACGTAGTGATGCTGATTTTAAAAAGAAAATAGAGTTTCAAATTTGTGTTCGGTTTTGTAGACCCCAAAGCACAGACATGTCACTGGTAGAGAGGAGGTTTTGTTATCTTTTAAATTGAAATGATTAACCTTTCACTTGAGCAGACTGAACACTTACAGAGTTTTCAGAATTTGTAGGAGAGGTGGGTGATCAACAGGTGATAAAGATGCCGTTCCTTTTGGAGTCATAGGATTAAAGAAAGGTTCAGGTTTGAGAGGACTTCAAGAGATCTCTAGTCTAACCTCCTGCTGCAAGCTGGGTCAACCATGAGATCAGACAAATAAAAAGGAATAAAGGGTTGCAGAGTCCTGAGAAAATCCATAACTTGATGAATAAGCTAAAACTGAAATAATGTCAGCATAGGTACATAAATAAGTTTGCTCTGTGTTCTGGAGTTGTTGAATATGTCTCTTGGCTTGAACATACTGCCCACCAGTATGTGTGAAAATTATACATAAAGTTTTAGCTTACAGACTAAATCTGTGCAAGCTTCAATTTTGTCTCTAGGACTCTGCCAAAATCTGGAAGAGAATATAAAGTTGATTCTCTGTTATCCAGGTTAACTGAGTCTATTACACACACTTTCTCCCTGTCCCACTCCCTATACTCATACACATGTGCATGCATGCATAGTGCATAGTCATAGTGGTACTGGGGTGCATTGTACAGCACAGTTAATCTGCAACCTAAATAAACTTCTCAAAGACGTTAAAGAGTGGAACCTACAAAATGGAAGGAAGAAGAAAAGGTAAAAATCAAGGCTGATTTGGGTTGCCATGGTATGTGTCTCATGGTATCTTTGAATGCGAGTCAGCTGCATCTACGTCAAGGTAGTGCTTGCAGCCTGCTGAGGTGTATGGGCTGTTCCAGTTACTTCTAACAAACTCTGAAGCCCAAATGGGGTTAGTGATCAGATCAACTGGGGAAATGTTTTACTGCTAAAATGGAAGGAAGAAAAAAGAGCCTGTGTGAAGTTTTACAAAATCTCCAATAAATATTTTCTTTTTTTGCTGTTCAGATGCATGAAGTTTAGCTTGTAGTGGAAAATTTGAGAAAATTGCAGAATATTTTCAATGCAACTCCATGTGGTAGAGATTTAGTCATTTATGTACCCAATGTGTATAGAGGGAGGTATTTCATAGATGCAACGTCCAGCTTCTATATAAACTCCTGGCAAGTAGAAAGTTACAGGTGTGGTTTTAGTCTTGATAATTTAGTTAGGACACAAATTATTCAAATTGTTGTAAATAGTTTGAGAAGTGTGCTTAAGTGGACCACAATATTCATGAATGTTGTAGAATGCTCATGTAACTGTGGTAATCTGGAGCTATTGAACTTTCGTACCTTTTTGTAGCAGATTCTCTTAGGTTGTTTCAAATTTTCTTCTCCAGCAATTCAGGTCCTCGATTAAAGATTTACCTCTCAAATTTTATCTTTTCAAAGGCACAGTGGTGGGCTTTCCCAAGAGTTAGGAAATTTATTGCCTAGTCTATATCAAGATCTTTGACCAAATCTCTGCATTTTTTTCACTACGTATGAGGAAAGTTGTTGCTACAAATACAAATTCAGTGTGAAAGGCTTGTAGTACTCCTTCATAACCATGGGCTCCAGTAAAACCTAAAGATTACAGTCCTCTCCTGTCCTCTCATGGTGCAGAATTCCCTGCCTGTATTTTCAGAGATAAAAATAAATATGTACAAAACTGTAGGCTTGAATTCGCCGCACTGAATGCTGATGCTTAATACTGTTTCTGTGCAATCATATAAAACACTGGCCAGAGTATAAACTCCTTTCTCCCTCCTAAGAAACTCCTGGGAGGGAGTGTGATAGTGGTGTTTTAAGCGCTTGGGGTAAGTCTTCCCCAGGCCTGGTTATCTCTGCAGGTGAGGAAGCCTGTTCGAAACTCCTGCTTCATAGTATGTTTTCATTATGATTATATACACGACTGGTCTAAGATCCCATTCCTTTATCATATTTAATTTAGTTAGCAGGTTGCCCCATTCGACACTTGAAATGTTTCTTTGCTTACTTACTCCCTGTGAAGTAGCAGGAGGCAGAGACACTGGTTACAGGGAAGCTGAAATTGAGCAGATCCTGGCTGTTAAGGAGGAGAGTCTGTGTTTTTAAAAATATGATGTTTTCTTAATGTTAGAAATTTTGTAATTGAACTTTTAAACTGAGGAAATAAGAGAAAAATGTAAGGTTAGCCCTACTGGGGGACTGAAGAACCATAATCCCCGTAAATGTCAGTTGAGAGGCTGTTAATAAATCCTTTCTTCCTAATGTTCTCAGTACATAAACTCATACAAATGTGTAGGATAAATGTTGGATTATATGGCTAAGATGGCTGTAGATTGTGATGGATTAAATTGAGCACAGGAAGTAAGGATATTTTTGGTAGAAGAGGGTCAAATAAAGTGCTTTTGACACATGCTTTCTACTTCTGTACATTTTACAGTTACTATTTATGGTCCACATTACAGAAAAACTTCCGAAACAGGTTTTTACATGTTTGCAGAAGAACTGGTGTTAAATTCAGTTTTCCTGCTAAGTACTTCAGTTTCATATTTATCAAGGATTGAGATGTTACCTGTCTGGCCATATGGCTGTGGTACAAATTTAGCTGATGAAGAACTCTTTATCACTTTCCCAGTAATTGCAGAGTTGTACAGATACAAGCTGGAATGCAAATGAGAGATGATTTTGCTTCTTTCCTACTGAAGCCAGCAACATAAGAGGATACTCTACTTGATTTCAAATATGTTAGTCAGTGGTATTTTCTTATTGTCAGTACTAATTGATTTAACTGTTATTACCAGATGGGAATGTCGCATTTGTGTATCTGTTCATGTTATGTATGTTACTGTGTGGCTTCGGTGTAACGTGACTCATACTATGAGAGGTTAGACTTAGAAGAAGATGACTTGGATCGTTCAGACCACCTCCTACCTGTGCTGGTCTCTTCATGATAAGGAATTTTCTCCCCTTTAGCTCAAAAAGAAAGAAAAAAAGAATTTTTAAAAAAGAGTAATTGCATTACAAGCAATGGGGAAATTAACAGGCAGAAATATTCTATGGGTTGATACAGCTTGCTGTCTAGAAATTTTCCCATGTATTTATTATAAATATTCTCTTTTTACCTGTTATTTTTTACATGTTCCCCATGTTCACCACAGTAAATTACTCCTACTTTGTTAGTACCCTGGAGGTACTTGCAGATTGCTCTCATGTTTCTTATTAAGTATTACAAAGGCAAGCAAAGTAGCTCTCTACTTCTTTTAGTCTTCCATCAGACCGCAGTTCTTCAAGTTATCCGATACATGAATATTACTCTATTAGTAAAAATCATGATGCCATTTCTGAATGCTTATTTCAGACAGGAAGAAAGATAGGTGAAGATGGGATGCATGTCTGCATTAATTTCCTGAGCTCGAAAGAGGGAAGGTAGCAGGACAGGTCGTGAGGCTACAGTGGGATGGAGTTCTTTCCTTAACACAGACATGTAATTGGATGGACTTCATGCTGCTTGATTGGACTTTGAAGGCTTTTTTGCAGTAATCTTTCTTCTTTCCATTGCTGCAATAGAATTTAAGACTTCTGGAAGAGCAATGGTAATAAGACCCAATCAGGCTTTCTGTCCTTATACTGCAGTTACATTTCATTATTAATATTCAGAAATTATGACTGAAAAGATTAAAAGATTAAAGAATATATACTTAAATATAGAAAACTAATAAATATGCAAAGCTGCAAAATACATGTTAAATAAGTAGTGTGAGTTCTTTTAATCTGATAAGCTACTAGTGATATGGCAAACAGGGAGCTAATGATCCCCGTTTGCAAAAATATTTAAGGTAGGATAAATAATATTTAGAGTAAAACTGTACATACACTTTGGTGAAGACAGTAGCTATAAATTTAAAGTATACTAAACTAGCATAATTTCTAACAGAAGCCATGCTACAGGTATAGTTATCTCTAGTAGGTAAGTATTTTTTCCTTCTTTAAATTGACGTATTTCCTCTGAGAGTGAATGTTTTAAAATTTCTGGCTTTAACTTGACAACCTGCAGTACAAAGGGTCAAAAATGTTCTTGTGTCGTTCCCCCACTTCCCCAAAAAGTTTGGTGCTAACATTTGTTTTCTTTTGAAACCTGGCAAAGGAAATTAGGATTTCTTTCTTTTATTAGATTTATTTAGAAGAGGCTAACTGAAGAATTTTTTAGTTGTGCAACCAACAAAGTCATAGAATTATTGAATAATACAGGTTTGAAGGGACCTAGGGAGGTTACATAGTCCAACCTCCTGCTCAAAATCAGG